ATATATATATCTAGTACGTCATATATATATATATATATATATATATATATATATATATATATACTCGTGCACACAAACACAGTATAGGTAGGTATGTGTATAGGTATGTCAATGAATACACGACCACCTCTCGTGAGTCTGCAGGGACGCTGTGTAGATACACCCACACAACACGCCACCTAGCACGTGGAGAGAATTAGACACGATACACGCGTCCATTAAATGTTGTTTACATAATATCACCGAGCTTGATGCGGATAGAATCCGCGCTGTTTGTGTTGAATAGTTCACCTACGCGAGCGCCCCCACGTGGGCATGTCTACCCTTAATAACAGCATTACATTTTCCATCCCAGGAGCTTTGCTAGTGAAAGTCGGGGCAAGAGAACGCGTTTCATAGCTGATGACCGTAATAGGATAAGTAATAAAATATTCATCGAGTTATCAGAAAGAGTTAAATAGTCAATTAATCAGAGTGCCAGTCGGGTGTATCATGATATCATCAGGCGTTCGCTTCACACTGAACCACCCCCATGCCGATGCTGCTGTTTGAAACTGTTCGTACCTTTTGCATAGTATCGTGTATATGCGAGGAAAGCCAAGAGCCTGAAATTTTCACGATTTTTACAACGGTGAAACGAACAGGGGGGTTGTGCTGTATTTCTCCGTGGAAGGGGTCGTCACTAGAGTAGCGCGAAGGCGGTTGCAAGCGACCGCTGTATCGGTGCAAGCTACACTCGCATCGCCCGCTCTCTCTCCGTCTACATTTTAAAACATCTAATCGTCTCTGTATTCGGGGGAAGGCAAGCAGTAGTGCGAGATATATATGGCGCAATGTGGCGCGTGAAGAATTTGTCCCTTTTCGATTGACGAACGTCGAGCAGAGTATAAAATCATTACATTTTTAATGCTTTTAAAGATCGAAGCATTAGATAAACGTAGAAGAATTAATGCAAAAGTAAAGATAAAGAAGAGAAGGCCGTGGCATTAAATTTCAAGTATGTTTACTTGAGCAATTCCACAGACTATTGTTAGTCTATGGCAATGCTTACAATTCACATTGCTTTACAATGTACGCTTACAACCATATATATATATATACAAAGTGGAACACATAGATTGCTGACTTCCGCACGCTAATGTAATCGATCATACTGCCGATGCGGCGTCACCCACCGACAGGGGGCAGCACGACCGGGTACAGGAAACTTTCGGTCCGCTGGGTGTACGCTGTTTAGTGTTTACACATCTTATTTATGAATTCTTATTGATTGTATTATTATCATCAACACTGAAATGTACCCAGGGTACGTTCCGGCAGTAACCTGGGGGACATATACCCTATGAGCATTAGTATTACTTAGTATCCTATCTTCATGTGTTTTTCAACACAATAGAGGGTGTCCATAGGCGGCAGGCCTGAATAAGCAGCACACAGAAAATAAATTAAAAATACGTAAACAGTTGCTATCAACACGCAACATGCATTTTATTCATGCAAAATCACTGCACATTAACCGTACAATCTTCACTCAAAACATTTGCCAGCTCTATGATGCGAAATTCCACCATGTTTGTCGGGTACCCATCAAGTCTCAAACGCGGCTGCCTGGTCACCATGGCTACGACACCCCATGCATTTGCAAAAATTTTCCACAAACCCGATTGTAATTTCAATCCTTTTCAGACGTCTATTGGGCATCCATCTCGCGTGTGTGCAATGCACTCTAATGACGGAAATTGCAACAAACAATTTGAGAAAACTGCTCTTTTTTACACGAGAAATAGTGCAATTGCGGAGGGTTACTGTTACACGCCTCCTTCATATCGTCTTCATCATATTTATGATTTAATTGATTTTCTATTGATTGTATTATTATCATCAACACTGAAATGGCATCTTGTAACATTAATTTCAATGTATTAGAAGCAATACGGGTACGTTCAACGAGTCAACAATAACATGATATGATATACACTAAAGTAATCTGTATTGCCGCAGCCTGCATGTTGTGTTAGCTGTATTAGTATCCGTGCATAGACAGTATTTAATAAATTTAGACGTATACATTTTTATCTTTCACAATGTCCATGTCAATATAAAACACAATTACAATATCAATATGGCTAGCAATAAAAATGGTACTCATATAGCTCGAGTTGAATATACTGAACAAACTGCTGCTGTAGGGGACGTGCATGTTTGCGCCAAGAAACCATCACCAAGGTATTATCGTTTGCAGAACCGTATATTATCGTTTGCAGAACCAAATTCTATAACTAGCTAAAATAGTTGAAATGCCACTGCGCATAACTTGAGCACCTAAATTTAAAATTGTTTGCTCCCACATTAAACAGTTGCAGGTATTATTATTATTACAATGTGGACATCATGGTGGGGGGATTGAATGCAGCAAAACACATTTACTAAATGTTACATGTTCCGGTAAAATTGTCTCACGTTATGTTACGTGTATCGATGGTCACCCACCTGACACATTGAAAATTTTTACCCTATCAAGAGTTACAGGCGTTATGGTGATAAAATTGTGACCGATTTTGGGGGAGTTATTGCAAGGAATGGGAGCAAATCTCACAGATTTGGAGGACTTCTACTATATTTTAGTATCTTTATTAGCCACAATTTCTATATTTCTAGCATTCCAGTTGGCTGACCCCTCGCTCGCGGACGCGCGTAAGTTCTACTCGCTCTACGACCACGTGTTGGACTACGCCGAGCTCACGTGCGACTCCAGCCTGCTCTACAAGCTGCTCACGTTCTTCGAGTCGGACTTTGAGCGTAAGTCGAAGATGCACAAGCGGCACGTCGACACGCCGCGGGGAGTGCTCGGCGAGCTCACCCCGTTCCACTACCTCCTCGTCTGCCGGTAGCTGACGTACGAGATCGACGAGGCGTACGGCAAGATGCTCGACATCAAGATGGCGATCGTTGAGGAGCAGCAGACGACGCCGTCGCCGCGTGCCGTCAGGAAGATCAACCTGCTCTGCGCCGAGTGCATTCGCAATTTCGAGTTGTTCCTCGACTCGACGGCGAACTGCGAGATGCTGGAACAGTTTGACAACGATAATATTCGTCCGGTGCTGATAGCTTACTTCCACATGGGCCGCATGCATTCAAAATTCATCGATTCCAATGTTCACAAAAGGATAGAGTGTATTCAGAAGAGCACTGATTGCTATCAGTTATTAGTTATTTATTGTGAAAAGTACACAGACATGGATACCAGTGGTTTCTTTTTGTCACGTCGATTTTAAAATAATCATCACATCGCCGATATTTGTTAATGGTTTGTTTTTTGTCGTTAGTAATTTTGTTAGTTGTTACGGAGAGAGTGAACTCAATAAAATGCGTGGTTATCTGCCTGTGGGAAGGATAAAAAGCCCCCCTAAACGCGTTTCGTTCTAGTGCAAAATGTTCCCTTTTGAACTTGCTTTAAAAACTAGTACTAATCTTCGATGTTGATGCTCCGCAGTTGCGGTTTGTATCTACTGTTTATAACTCGTCACTGTAGCTTCATGTTAGCTAGGGGGTGGTAAAACTATAGGCGCAGTTTTATTATTACTAATAACTCGTGTAATTATAAATGTCCCGTTTCGGCGTTCACATGCTCAAATATATCCTTTTCTAGTGTGGTTAGTTCTAGCTACCGCTAAAGCATATATGCAAGTAATGTGGTTTTTCTTTAAAATTTATTTGGCCATATCTATCCGTTTTTGCGGACAAGCAAACCAAAGGCGAGTACCACATATTTTACTGTGTGAATCCATGTTTGAAAGGATATTACTTCGATTAGCATCGAACGACTATTATAAATTATTATTATTGTTAGTATAAACAATAATAAATATAGCACGGTTCTATCAATCATAAATGGTTTGCACGAAAAGAACTATACAAGTATTTCTATCTCGTTTATGAATGGAAATTCCCACTTTAAAATCTATGCTCGGCAATGACTTCTTAGTTGACTTTTCTTGCTGTTAAACGAAAACATAACACACACATCAGACATGAACCAATCAGAAGTTGTAAGTTTAGGCGTGTGCGTAACATGTTGGAATAGAACCAGGTTGTCCCGTGTTCAATTCTTGTGAGGTAACTTTGTAAAATATTTTCAAACTCTTGTTGAGTCAAATGTTAACACATAGATTCGTTCTGAACATATAAGGAATGGTGTCTTTGGGTGCTAGCGTAGCGTGCTGGGCTGGTACTCAATAATCCCGGGTTCAAATCTTGTCAATGACTACGGTAAGATATTTTCGAGATGTTGTTAGGCGAAATATAAACACAACTTGACCATGACTTTAATCGAGTGATGTAAACATTTTGAAAATGGCTCAAGGATATGGCCTTGAGCTCAAGGCTATGGCCTTGGCCTAGATATGTAGAAGTTTTAAAATTGTAAAATGTAATGGCCTTGAGCCCAAGGCCATGGCCTTGAGCTCAAGGCCACAGAAAATTGGAAAATTGGAAAATGTAATGGCCTTGACCTCAAGGCCATGGCCTTGAGCTCAAGGCCACGGAATATTTTAGAAATGGGAAAAGTGGTCGAGGCCACGGTCAAGGACAATGTCACGGTCAAGGTGAGGGTCAAGGTCCATGCAACAACAACAACAACTCTCCTGCATTCTACTCTGCTACTCTACTGAACTGTACTCTACTGCTCTACTGCACTGTAATAATATACAATGTATCTATAATATTATATATATTATGTGACTGCAATTATTTATGTATTGGTGTATTATCTGTAGTGCTGCCGAATCTCGGCGGCGTCTCGCAGCCGCGCATTTCCCCGCCCCGGGCCACCACGACAACGTTGCACCATCACTGCCTTCCGCCACGTGATGGCGCAACCGTTAGTCGCCACAAATGTGCGGCTCTAACGTCTTGGGACCCGGGCAAGTGTAGGGAAGCCGGCTGCACGATAGGTTTATATTAGTTCGCAGGGACGGCATGTACGGCGCCGTCACCATAAATCACAACAGACGCATATTGGTGATCGCGCCGAAATGCACCTGCGGAATAGTAACGGACCGGATTGTTGACGCGAAACTCGGAGTAGAGAGCACACTCGGCTCTCATCCTTCCCGCAACACGTCCAGGCTTTTCCCCGCGCTCCTGACACCTATTCCTCCTATACTGTTCCTTACATCTTCCCTCCTACACTTCAACTATCCACCTTCACCCCTTGCCGAGCTACTTCGCGATCCACGTCTTAGTACGAAGGTTACTGATATTCGGTTACGATTCTGTGTGTACGTAGATACTGCTGTGTAGTTTCGTAGAGTGTGTATTAGTGCTGTGCGCGTCGGATCCGACATGACCAAAAATCCGATCCGACAGGCATTTTTGAAAATCGCGAATCCGAATCAGAATGGCTATTTTGAATCCATCCGAATCCGAATCCGGTGGCAATTTTTGAATCGAATCGCAATGCCGAAT